TCCGATATAGCAATGGTGACAACACTCAATCAGGACGGACGTTCGGTGGCTTTCTTCTCATGCACCTTGTTCTCTAGTGAGCGCGACCAGTCCGTGATCGAAAAAGAAGTGTGTGCAATCGTAGAAGCCCTAAGGAACCGGGAACCGCTTTACTCTTATCACGAATCAGCGTTCAGTTGCCTCCATGTACAACACAGCATAAAAGTCAAGTGAAAAACAATCAAATTCGAAGATGGAAATTAGAGATATCACTCTTTTATTACGACATCAAGTATCGGTCTTGGGGGCAAAATCAAGCTGCTGACACATTCTCCGGAAACTGATGTATTTCAGCCTTGTCGCACACTGACTTAAAACAGTTACACAACACTGTCATCCCGGTATTACACGCTTGTTGCACTTCATCGGCTCTCGGAACCTACCCTTCTCCATAGACGATATTCAAACGGTTGTACATGAATGTGAAGCATGTGCACAACGTAAGCCGCGCTTTTTCGAAGGCACTTCTGGCAACCAGACTGTTCAAAAGAATAGCCCGCAACAGGTATCCTTTGATTATGACAGATGAATACTCTCAGTTACCTTTGGCTTTTGCTTGCGTGAACCTCGCTTGTTATTAGTTGTTTCAGTCAATTATTTACTCTATTTCGAATGGCGTCTTATGTCCATTCTGACAGTAGCACTGCCTTCATGTCTGATGAACTGCACAGCTTTCTCCACAATGATGGAGTGGTAATCAGTCCGACAACTCGAATCCACGGGGTAAGACAAATCGAAAGATTAAATGGAATTTTGTGGAGGGCCATTACTCTGGCACTGAAATCTAAAGAGACGGATAAAAGACAAGGGNTGGGGAATGTGTTCTACTGGACGCTTTACATTCAGTCCGTTCACTGTTGTACTATGCCACTAATGAAACGCCGCACGACAGTTTTGATATTCAATCGTACATCTTCCAATGGCACCTCTCTCCCGACATGGTTGTCGACACCCGTACCGGTTATCCTCAAAAGAATGGATCGATCTTCAAAATATGATTCTCTGATGAAAGAAGTGCAACTGAAAGTGTAACTGTAGCCCAGAACATGCTCATGTGCGTCTTCCAAACGGAAAAGAGGAAACTGTCTCATTGATACAGCTTGCTAAGAAAGCGTATACACTCATGAAATCACAGCAGATCAGTCTGTGCGTTTCACGGAAGAACTATCCACTACTCCGGTGGTGCAACTGGAAAATGAAGCTTTAGGATCCGAAATCCAGTCTGACGCAACAGACCACATACAGCGGCACGTAGGAGACCAGCAGTGTGTCCCCCCATACAACCTTCGAAGTAGGTGTTTGAAAAACGCAATGATTCACAGACCATTCACTCAGCGCGGTGAAATGTTGGGAATTTGTTAGACTTTGGATCTTCATACCACGGTATCAGTGTTTACTGGTGATGTCGATTTCTGATCATTCTATTGTAGGCGATGTAACTT